CTGGAGATATCTAATCTCCCATCTTCCACCAGTATTAAGATGGCTGGTTGGTTACTCTTTCAGAAACAACTTCCTTTTTTCTTTATTTTATTTTTATTTATTTATTTATTTTAATAAGGGGTTCTTACCATTACTGTCTGTGGTCTCCACCACCATATCACAACATCATAAGAGGATTTTTTTCTCCCTTGAGTGAATATTTAAAGTGTTTTGGAGAGAAGACAGCATGTGGCAGCCTAGCAGACACTGGAGCTCTCTTGGTAAAGCAGCTAGGAAAAGCGTTAGCACAAGCACTAAGAGTTTTCAGGGGAGTTTGTTAATCCCTGACAAACCTAATACATGGATAACAAAACCCTCCAACAAACCCTAACTGATGCAAAGGAAGATGATGAGATGTGTAACCTTCAGGGCAGGGAGAGTCAGTGAGAAAGTTAAATGCTTAAAGAGCTGAAGAAGTTACATGAGGAAAGACAGCTCTTAAATGCTGGACTGGAATCAACAATATGACTGGCTCCAGTCTTCCAGTGCGAAGATGTGGATCTTGGATTAAGAAAAATAAAAATTTAAATTAAAAAAAAAAAAAAAAAAGATAGAGATTTTGTTACCCAGCTTTTCATTACAATTGGTTTCAATGCCAGAAGCAATTTCATTGACGAGCTAGTCTGGTCTTCAAAATTAAGACTATAAATCCCACCATTCCTGAGCAACATCCCTAATACTGACTGGGCTAAAGCAAATGTTGCCAGGGAAAGGCTCTTTTCATGTTTCTGCAGCTTGTGAACCTCAGCAGGATTAACCAGCCCCTGCCTGGGGCACTCGCTCTCAGAGCAAAGACAAAGGGTAGCAAGGCCTATTCCTAATAAAAAGGCACTGCTGCCCTGGCTGCTATAAATGGATACATCCCCAGAGGAGCCAGGACAATTCAAGAGGGCACAGCATGTGGCCTGGAATATATTTTATTTACCTGCCCCTGGAGGAAGTTGGTAGTAGTCACCAGACTTTCCACGGCCAGATTCTGTCTGGGAAGAAGCAGTGTGAAGGACCCGCACATCTGGGGTTAACAACAAGGTGCCAAATGCACCCTGCAGAGCAGAAACTTCCTGAACTGCTGCCAGCAAAATCCAGGGAAGGATGCCTCTACACAGCCCCGATGCCTTCCCATTTCCCTGAGGATCCGTGGCTGGCTACTGTCAATGGCAGGATATTGGGCGAGACAGCCCCTTGCTCTGACCCAGGGTGGCGGTTCCTACGTTTTCATGTGAGGACAATGAGAGCAGGGTCCCCCTAAGAGAAATCCAGTCAGTGCAGGAAACATGTGTCCTGGGAGGCTTCCTGCCCTCCCTCTCACTGTAACTCCAGTTTGAAGAGGGGGTAAAATGTACTGGCATGGTCAGTCTGGCTGAGCACACCAACTAAAGCACGGGAATGAGGGGAGCTGAACTTCAAGATCCGGTGGACTTTTGTAACCATCGTATACAAGGAAAGTATTGTGAAAAATCAAAGAACTGCACAACTGTGACTATTGCTGTTCAGGTTCAAAAAGCGACAACAAACCTGAGATGCTGAGTGCTGTGCAGGATACAGATACGACTTGTCACAAGAGATCTTAAAGCCTATACACTCCAAAACACATCACTAAGAAAAAAAATGAGCTCTACCATCACTCCCAGTGTCCAGAAGGGAAACTGAGGCACAAAGAAATCCACTGACTTGCCCCTCCTCACCTGGCATGTTTAGGGCAGAGCCAAGAGCCAAATACAGTCCCCAAGTTGCACAGTCATGCCTTCTCCAGATCTGCACCTTATCCTTCCTGATCAGGCAGATGCAGCCATCTCCCTTCTTACAGAAGACCCTTCACTGCAGCAGATATTTCATGATGGGGCTGCAGAGCTGTGAGGGGTTCCACACCGAGGCTTTGCAAAGGAGATTTTCTCTCTCTCTCCCTGCTTTGCAAATACAGTTCTCCCAGGGAAGTCAAGTTCCCCTTACACATGTAGAGTAAAATTTCCTTCCCTTGCTTTTAGGTAGTAAAAATCATGCCAGATTAAATGTGCAGTGGCAAATTACACTTTTAAGAGGCCCACATTGCAGTCTGTGAGGATTTTTGTCTGGTGCTGCTGGTCAGTGTCCAGGTAAAGGGAACAACCAATGTGCTACAAAAAAAAACAGCAGCTGTTTTCATGGGAGAGATAATATGTGAGAAATGACAGCCTCTGTGACAAACACTCCCTGCAATTTTATGCACCGAAGACAGAAGGGCTGTTTAACTGCTTTGGACAAGTGAGATGGTGAAATTTAAATCTGTGGCTTTAACGAGCGTTAAAATGCCCTCAAGGAGCTGTAGGTGACCTGGGAAGGGGCTTCTCATGCTCTGAAATGTGTGGGCCATGTAGCCTGCCTGCAAATTCATACAGGACATACCATCCCATTTGCAGCATAAAGGATGTGAAAGCCAAAAGACCTGGTTGCAAGTAACAAAATTGGTGGGAATTTAACAGAATGAAGATCTAGCAGTGTAATAACTTCTGGAAAAAAACCTCCAGATTTGCAATTACCAGCATCAGGAATGAAGCTGGCTCCTTGAAAGTCGCTGTTGTGTGCCCACTTGTGGAAACCCAGTAGAGCTGGATGAAGAGGGATGTGCACCAGTCAAATGAGTTGGTGGGTTCTGGCATTAGCAGTACTTTTGTCACCCACAGCAAATCCATGGCATCTCCATTAGCTTTTGCTCTTCTCCTTAAAAGACCATCTAGAAGTGTTAGCTTGGTTTCAGTCAATACATCCTTCCCACTCTTCCTCTTCCGCCCCCCAGCCTGGCTGCTACTGCATCATTCAAAACCCTCTTTCACACCCTGCAGTGTTTTCTTCTGAACACTTGCTGAGGTTCCTACTGTCTCACCGTATCCGGGTACAGCGCATATTTCCTGTTGGATGCAAAAGAAGGAAGTTTGCCACTTTCTAACCCTACTTCTAATCCTGAGACTATAGCACAGCCAGACTCCATGAGAGAAATCCAGTGAAGGAAATGACTTCCCAACAGCATCAAGGAGGTGTTTCACAGGTGTTCACAGCTCTGGCAAAGAGTTTGTAGGAGCTTTTATATATTCTACATAAGAAATCTCTATGTATAAATAAAGAAGGACATGTTGCTTAAAATTGCTTTCGTACTGAAATTTTGATGTTTATTAAGGACACAAAATAATTTGCAGGTTTCCCGTAATAGTTGTGATGCCAGTTAAAACAATAACAAGATCAGAGGGATTGTGAGATGCAATTTGAAACAAAACACAAGGACTTTTTAAAAGGCAGTTAAACTCTCCATCAGCATAAAACTATTCCTGCTGCTGTTTGACACAGCAGTCTATTCAGAATTACAGAAGGTAGAGTGATAAAATCACCTCCTTCCTACTCAACTACAGTGCAGCTTTTACGAGTTCCATAGACAAAAAAAAAAAATACAGCAGCTAGTAAATTACAGGTTAAATTAAATCTGTCTCAATGAGGACAGGACACTTGGGGAAGTTTCAAGCATGCATCCCTGGAAATGAAGAAGACTGCATCCATAAGACAAGACACTTAACCGGGGGGAAGGCAGGTGCAGATATTACTTTCAGCAGCAATTGTCTCTTAATGGCTATCTGAGAAGCTGTCTTATTTTTTTTTTGTAAGCTCCTGTGAGCCTCTCCCACTTGGCAAATCTTCCTACTTTCACATAATTTTCCATTTTGTCCAGGAGAGAAATGAAGGATGAACATGGATTTGTCCTGCAGGTGGGAACCAGAAGACAAAGGCACTTATGTGGCTGTGATCACCGGGGGGCTGTTGCAGCAGCTCCCAGGTGTCCCCTAGTTTATAAATAATGGGTCTGAGGAGGTGTGAACCATCCTTGGGCATGTCTGCTCTCTTTCCTCTCCTGGGTTTCTCTCACCCACACTGACCACGTTACTGGCCACTCCACAGCTTTCCCGTGAGCGTGTCTGGCTGCCCTCAGCACTGTGTGCATCCTCAGAGGAGCAGGTCTCCACGGAGCCGAGCAGCGCAGAGAAGCGTGGGAACACTCTTTGTAGCCCCCATCTTTCCCACCACCTCATCCAGGGGCTCACTGAAACCAAACCATCATCATCGTGTTTTGGCTTGGTCTCTCTAACTCTGGAAATTGTCAGGAGAGACTCCTTGGGCTCTGCAGAGTCTCGCTGATTCTACGTGAAGCCAGTTCCCCTCCTATCCCTGGACAAAAGTAGATGGGAAGATATGCACTTTTGGCTCTACAGATTTAATGTGTTTCTCTCTTTTTTTCCAAGGAATTGTCTCTTGCAAGGCAAGATTTTTTTCAACAAAATAGCTCCAATTAAGCAAATTACTGAAATATGCAGTTAATTAAGAGTCCACTGATATTAAGCAAAGCACTTAATCATGACCTTAAGTACTTTGCTGAGTCAGGGCTGAGTATACATTCACCCTAATTTCAAGGTAGCAATTTGAATACCCATTTCCATTTCATTGGCCTTAAGGCCTTTTCATTGACTGTTATTTCTGATAGACCTCAGGATAAGGAGAACTAATGGTGGGGTCATAATGGTGGAAATGTTGGTAATTGCTTTTACATTACTGGGAAGAAGCTAAAACCGGACATGTATAGAGAGGCATTTAGAGAGGTGGTAATGCCTTTGTGGCCTGTTTTCAGCCCCTGGTGACTGTTCAGTCCATATGCACTTTGTGCATGAGGAAAGGTCACACAGTGTGAAAAGCCTGTAAGGAAGGGAAACTGCATCTTTTTTTTTTTTTTTTTTTGTGTACTACATTTCTACAGGAATAATGCACTGAACAGTATGAGGAGAGGGGATTAAACCTCATCTGTCCAGAAAAGCCAATGACTAAGAGCAGTACAAAGTGAGATCAAATTCTGGACTGACTTACACCCTCTGTAATGCTGGTGGTACCAGGGGTATGAAGCCAGGGAAGAATTTGGTCCCTCCTCACCTGACCTGGGGAAGGAGAGCTCAGGCAGTCTCGCATTCGGTGGTGGCAGTGGAGCAGATGTCGCAGTCGCAGCGGATGGCCACCGGGTAGGTGTAGAAGGGATCCACGTCAGGGGCACACCTGGGCAGCTTCACCGTCATCATCTTGGTCTCGTTGTAGGTGCAAACACGGTGGTAAGACTCGATGTAAGGGGGTTCCAGCACTGGTTTCTGTGAGGGAGAAATGCTGGCCTCAGGCAAGAAGCAAGACAAATCTGGAGTCCCAGTTTCCTCGAGGGGATTAGTGTAAACAGGGTAGACACTGGATCAGGTGGAAGGGGCCGTGGAAATAATTTTTAAGTTACATCCTTCAACACCTGCCTCTTGGAGGCCTGCCATGGAGAAGAGTGGGTGTACGTGTGTGTTTCTGTTCGTTTAAAGCATAAAGCTCCAATTAAAGCTGCTTGAGGAAGACAAAAGCCTATCCAAAAAGCTGGTTTTCAGCAGAATGCTAGTGTTTCAACCAAATGCGCATTTGCCAAAAATAGCTGCTTTCTTCCAAAAGGACAGGTTTTCCATCAAAGAAAACACGTTCTGCTGGAAACCTTCCCATGTGCACAAGTTGCCTAAGAGCAGAGGTACATCCAGGTGCCAAATGTCTGTTTTTTTCTCAGCCAGACCAGTCTTCCCAGTCAGGCTACACATCCCACAAAGCCCAGTGGATATACACCATGAGGGATGTACTCGGCACAGCAGACAGCATAGAAGTCTGCAGGTCCTCATGAGAAAAACAGCTTGGCTAGAGATCTCAGCTATCATGAGATGATGGGAGCCTGAAGGTCCTGAAACCCACACTCCCACATGGTATGACAGTGGCATTGTCTTCACTGAAAAGTGAGTTTTTCCTCAACAGAGGCACCCATTTTCCAAACACTCCAAGAAGGGGCAGCACAAACAGGAATGAGAGCCCACTGTCATCCTCTCCCTTGTGCTGATGGGAAACAGCAAAGGTAACACAGCCAGGACACATTTTAATTTCTTTCCCTCTGTGCTGTGTAAAGAGCCTGCCCTGAGAACTGAGAACGATGGCATGGAAAAGAACAGATGCAACGTTTCAGCAAGAAGATATCCAGACATCCTCCCTCTTACCAACCCCCTCATCTAAGTACACCACGGTGCTTTCTAGAAGCTGTTGAGCCTACAACCAGCTGCATTCAGCTTAACTACAGCCCAGTGGTATTGCAGTATGATAAGAGAGTTGGCAAGGTCTGTGCTGTCAGAGGAGCTCATGGGTGGGGGAAACCAGACAACAAGAGGTCCCTCAAAGGAACGTTATCCCACTGGGGAAATCTGGCTAGTGGTAGCTTTTTCCCCTCATCCAATCAAGCAGTGAACGAGAGCAGTCAGAGCTGGCACACAGACCGTGGCTCATCCTCTGATGACTTACACAGAGCCCTTGTCTTCATGTGGACAAAACCCCTCTGAAGACACTCGAGGATTCTCTGAATAAATTAAATGGGTCTGGCCCCTTGAGCCTTCCAGTGACAGAAAGGCAATGACAGTCAGAAACACATTCTCTGAAGTGTGTGTAGATGCACTTATGCTTTTTCTTTCTCCCCTTGTACAGCCCCAAAACATAGCTACTTCATATTTATACAGGGCTGTGACTTAAAACAGGACCAGATTAGAAACAGACATTATCTTTGGGATTTGCTTTTTGGAACTAAATATATTACCTATCAGTTGGGAGCTCCATCTTAATCTCAAAGGAATTTTTTCCAGTAAAGTAATAAAGGCCTCCTCTTCTTAAGTGTTCAAGCTGTAAGAGGCTTTCAAACTGCGTAATAAAAGTATAACATAAGTGCTTCATTAATATCACCAGAGGATGTGCATCCCCCTTTGAGGCAGCGGAGGGAAGGAGGGAGCAACTGACAGCAAATGCTGCTGATAGTGGTAGAGAGGGGATCGTGGAACAGGACTGTTGAATAGGTAGCAGCAAGCTCTGTAATGCTCGGTGGGTTTCTTCCGAGGGCTTTCCTTGGGGGGGGGGAAGCACCACCCAGGGATGTCAGTGCCAGCCAGGCACCCCCAGCCCCAGGCACCCCCAGCCCCAGGCACCCCCAGCCCCAGGCACAGCCTCACCTCCCAGGTCTCGCAGCGTCCCCAGCACGCGTCCGTGGTCACCCGCAGCCCCCTGCAGCCGGGTTTCCTGGCCAGGAAGGTGAACTCTCGCACGGCGCAGCCGGTGAAGGTCCGCAGGTCGATGGCGGAGGCCTCGAGCCTGCCGCCGCAGCCGGCCAGCACCAGGAGAAGCAGGATCACGCAGCGGAGCTTCATGCTGAGGCAGAAGGGAGACAAGTGGAGGGTTGGGAGAGCCAGCGCAGTCCAGAAGGCAAGAAGTACCAGTGCACAGGCTCAGCTCAACCTGGAACAGCCTTTCCTGCCTTCAGACACACTGGTCCCCATCCTCATTCAGTCTGAGAGATGAGCAGATATATGAATGTGGGGTCACCCACTCCCAGGAGTGGAAAGTCTTAGTGAAAAGGTCTATATAACGGCCAGCAACGGCACGCAGACTTTCAGTGGAGAGCAGCGGGGTTTGTCTGGAAGAGATAAAGCCACCAGCCAGTGCCTCAGACCCATTGAAATCTCCATATTGCAAGTTTATTTTGCAGCATATGCCCTCCCACCATTCCATTTGGGTTGCCCAGAGCTTGCACCAGGCCAGTAGCCATGTAGGCCTTTGGTGGTTCTCTCAGTGCACACACATGTTGTTGGCTGAAGTCCCTGACAGAGTCAGTGTGGAAGGGCTCTGTCTGTCTGTCTGTCTGTCACGCACACCTATGGGAGGTGGCAGGCTCCCTGCTTTGCTGCATGGAGGGGAAAGCAGCACAGATGCAGCTCCATGCATTCCACAGGGCTAGGTCTGCATGTAACACCAGCATTTTGACCTGGACACTTAATTCTGTATTTATCTCACTTACCTTTTAGCCTAAATTAGGAGCCAAGCACCCCTGAATTTGTGCTGTAATCTCAGCACCTCCCAGAAATGTTACTGAAGTTGCTGTTGCTAATACCCTGAGTCCTGGGCTTGTGCTGGTCTACTCCCAGGGCTGCAGCCAGAGGGGCTGGTTGTCCCTCTTGCACACACTGCCCTACCAGCCAGCTCAGACCCATCCAAGGCTGCTAAACCAGTGAACGGAGCTGGTTAGACGAGGGAGGACATGGCCAAGGTGACCAGAGAAGGCTTGAACCCCTCACAACTTCTGAGCAGCCCAGGATCAGCCAAGTCCCTCTGATACCTGCTGCATTTGTGTCTCGGTGAAGAAAGCAAACAGCCTCTCTGGAAAACTTTCTCTGTCAAAAAAAAGAGGGCTGGAAAGTACCTCTAAGCCACAAGATCCATTTTATACTTCACATACTTGCATTGCATTAAAAAATGCTCACCTAGAAACCCCAGAATTGACATTTAATTTTGAGAAAGTCAGCTACTGCATGGGGCACAGAGACTTGTGTGTGTTGGCCTGCGTCTCAGCTGGATAGACTTCAGTTAAATGATCTTGGCCTGCCTTTTGCCTGACTGATGCTTGAGTCTCTAGGCTCCTGTTAAACCAAATGCTTTAAATTTGCTAAATCAGAGGTTCAGATCAGCACATAAAGTCTGCTTCACATATATCACCATGCATACAGTCTTACATGTGGTTAAATGACTGTATGTTTATATATAAGCTACAACAGAGTAAAAAATGCTAAAATTCCTTGTTTTTAAAAGAAGACATATGAGAGTAAAAGAGACAAACTTCAGAACAAATCAAACATTTATTCTTTGCCACTTTAGCAAAACCTGCTGCTTTATTCACGAGCCAGAGACATCACATGGAGCAAACACAGAAGCAGACTCACCTAACTTGTTGGAGTCAGATCTCCTTTTGCAGTTTTAAATTGCAGATGGTGTTTCAGGACGTCAGAGTGAGCAGCAGGAGACCTGCACAGCAATCTTTGTCAGCTTTGTGCTCAGTAGATCTCCCTAACAGCTGCTACTGGGTTGCTAAATTGCTCAAATTTATAGAAAGGGTCTTGTCAATCAAAGCAAGACAGAGGCAGATCCTTACTTGAAGTACCCCAGGCATCAAAGTCATTGACTGAAAAGCAAGCCTCTCCTTTCCAACAGTGATTAGCTTAAAGGGTATTGTTTCATAATGTCAGCCCTGAAACAAAAGGAATATATTTGTGAGTGAAATAATGGGCCTGAACTGGGGCAAAATGGATCTTCCTTTCTGTAGTGGAATTGCAACACCTTTGCAAGGAGATTGGAGTCTGGCTCTGAAATCATCATTACCCCCCTAATTAACAAGCCCTAAGTAAACACCCTGAAGGGAGACTTTCCAAATATTTGTGCGAATAAACCCCTGAATTTGTCAACTGCTTAAGACCTTTTTTTTCATTCGATTGCTCTGTACAAGCAAGGGCAAGGTATGGGGGGAGGAGGTGTGAGTTTGCAAGAAAAGCAAATGTTCTCTTGATGAGTCAGGCAGCTGCCACACAGGTAAGCACCACTGTGCAAAGGAAGTATGGAAACTGTGTCCATTGCCTTCACCACACAAACACAATTTTCAGCTTTTCATAGGACAAAGAGAAGCCAAGGAACCTCAGTAGCATGAAAAACTTGCTGGTCAGTGAGTTCATAAAAGATGAGCAGGTGAGAGAAGCTCACGCAGCGAGCTCGGGAAAGTCACCTCCCTTCCCTGCCACCGGCTGACAGCTGGACAGGGACGTCCTGGCACCGACTGCTCCAATACACAGGAACATCCAGAAAAGGCAGAGCAAGTGTCCGTGACTGCAGATCCCTCAGGGTGACACTGTTAAAGGCGGCCACAACAATACAACCCAGCCCTGGGAATAGGAAACCTTGATGTAAATAAACCCCAACCTACAATGTTTTAGAAAAAAACAAAAACAAAAAACAACAACAAAAAAACCCCCAACCAAACAAAAAAAAAACAAACAGCATCTGTTGATGTCCAAAAAATTCAACTCATCAAATATTAAACAGTAATCACTGTGAGTTTGTTAATGTACCTTAGAAGTATCACTTGTATACTTCGGGTGGGTTGTATTCAGGCCTTCAGTAGTACAATCTATGGAAACCAGCAAACAGACATTAAGGAAATGTGATATTGAGGCATTCAAGACCAAATGAAGTATATTACATAGTTGCTCTCCCTTCTTCATGGTGAATAAGCCATGTCTTTGGGTCCTTGTTTTGTTTCTTAGGTCAGTAGTCAGTTTCTTTGGTGCAGCAGCGGGACTTGTATTCCTGCTAACACCTCCTGGAAACCCACAGAGCACTTGCTGTACTTTCCTTTCCAGCTTGGAGCCACCACTGCTTGGCTTTTTTTCTTGCTACTGTATAACCCGGCTATTTTCCTGATCAATAAATTACACTGGTCACATGCACACAAGGTGGCATGAAAAAGGCTGGTTATCCACCCTCAAGATTTGCCTCATCTCTAAATTAGGAAACAGTGATTGGAAGAAGTCAAGCAAGCCTTGCACTGACACTTCAGGGCACTTTGCAGAGCCAAGAGCCACTGTACCCTCTTTAGAGATGACACAGGGCAGCAGAGATTTACCTAAGCTTATAGGAAGTTGTGGTAGCTGCACCAACACAACGGAATCAGACCATCATTCTAACTTTTCTCCTTCTTCCGCCTTTTCCCTCCCCAAAGTTACACCTCCTAAGCACGTACTTCTGAAGCAGCCGCACAGGATGTCCCTGTCAGGCAAAGGCTCTGCCCTGGAGCCTGCAGCGGGAGGGATAGGAGGCCTTGCACACCGAGACAGGGGGGCACCTCAGTGCGGGTCACTCTCCAGCCATCAGTCTCCAGGCGTGACACGAGTCCTTCCTTCCAACCTCAGCCTCCAGCCCGTTGCAAACACCTCCTGAAACACAGAAAAGCAGCAGGCATTAAGTGCTGCTGCCATATTGCCATCACAACGTAGGAAACGACAGCTTCAGAAAATCAATTCACTTAACAGAAAACAAACAAAAAAAAAACTCAAAAAAAATATTTTTTTTTAAAGAGGAAGGCAAGAACAAAGAGGAAAGTAACATGATTTTTACTAAAAATTTGAAAACTGTCCTGAAGTTGGGAGGGAGGAGATGTTTAAGATCTTTCCCAGTATTCTCTCTTATTACTATTCACAGTCTTGTTAGCAGCAAAGGACTCCAGCTTCAAGTGAAGACCTACTGGGTGGGAAGTTGGAGGAGGAATATTAAATGGAGGTACTGTAATTGTCTCCATAGATGTGATCACTAGACACGTCCTGGACACCTTTTTCTCCCATTTGAAACCAACAGGGAAAAACAGGAGATTCAAAGCCAAATCAGATCACAGGGAGGCCAAGAGGAACAAAGTCTTGTCACAGATCTAATAATATCATCAACTTTCCACAAAAAAAACCTAAAACTTTTTTGTTGTAGCTTCTGCTAACCAAAAATAGAACTAGAGCTGTACAGTTTAAAAGTTCCTGACTTACAGAGAAAACAGGTAAAAGTGAAAATATTGGTCATAAGTTCCCTTTATTTGATTCTGGAAATGTGCCAGCAAAAATCAGAACAAGATTAGCACAGGTGCAGGAAATACATGCCAGATGGCAGATCAACCAGATTTGACAGATCCCTTCTCTTCTATGGATTAGAAAAACAGGTGCTGGACTTTCAGTTTGCGTAATTCAGTTTGGATTCACTGACTTCAGCTAACTGAGATTCTTTTCTCTTGTCTCCATTTGTACTGAATAACCTCATAAAGTAAAACAAAACACAAATTGCAGACTGTCACGTTCTCTTTTGACAATCCTGTCTATTCATGGGACAGACACCAATTTCTGAAGGATTTGCATCATGTCTCATGAAAAGCATGTCTTGTGAAAAGCTCTTCCCCAGGCAGAGTTTTGTTGGCTTATTGTTTTGTGTTTTGTTTTGTTTTTTTTTTTTTTTTTTTATTATTATTATTATTTAATTAATAAATATACCACCTACACGTACACTTGACCTTCAGTGTACATCAGAAATTTAAAAGCAGCATATTTTTTCTTTCCCTGGACCTTTTACATTTATTTGAAATTAAAGATAAGATATAGATACTTCTAAAGGAATATCTCCACCATTTACCCATCTGTTCCCTTTTTGAGACACACAGGAGAGAGGAACAGATTGACCAGGGTAGCACATCTCACGAGGATTGCGCATCCACTCACCCATTCAGGCTCGTGTGGCTTTTTCTCTGTATTCTGGACAGGCAGAACACAGACATCAAGTGCGACGTAATGGTCTT